ACAGGAACCTTTCTTCCCCTTCCACCTTTTCATTAGAAAGAAAAGAGCCAAAAGCAAGAATCCTCATTATGTTCATTACAGAACCCAATCGTGTTCTAACAAAACACTGCTGCCAGGAACCTCTTGCTGCAACTAGAAAAAAAGCCCAAAACATCGTGTTAAAATGCTAAAAATATATCTTAAAAAAGAATGGGAACATGAATGAGACGACTGATTAATGAAGATTATGAATAGTTAGAGAACGGGCATACAGGAACTGCGGAAAGAAAAAGCAGTTCTTAATTCTGCGAATCACGACTTTTGGATGGGAAGGCTCAGCACAAGAACAGGAAACCCACCAGAGTAACTGCAGTGAGACTGAAACACGAGAGAAAAACGAAATTTATATTATTTTCTCTCCTAGGTCTCCCATTAATCCGAAAAAAAAAACAACTCCTTGGGAAGAAGGAACGTCCTTCACTCGCACGACACGGAGGGATCCGAGCACGCTGCGAGCATTTAAACACGACACGGCAGCAAACGCAGGAAGGTGAGCGAAGTATCAACAGGTCTCCCGGGGGACCCGCGGGGGCCCTTTCCTGGGAGCCGAACCGGCTGAGGAGCTGCGGGAGCACCGACAGCTCCCTCAGGGGCCCGGGGGGCAAAGGGGCGAGCGCGGCCGGCCCGGGGATGGGGACGGCAGGCTGGAAGGGGAAGCCCGGCGGGCTCCGGCAGGAGGAGGGCGGAGGAGCTGGAGGTCCTGCGGGCCCACCGGCCGAGGGGCCGCCGGGAGCGGCCCGGAGCCCCGGCCCCGGAGCGGGCGGGGCGGCCTAACCCGGGCCGGGCCAGGCTTTGGGGCCTGAGCCGCCCGGGGGTCGGTACCTGGACGGGTTCCTGCAGCACCGTCATCCTGCTCTCCCCGGCCTCCGCCTCCTGGTCGCTGAGCCCGAGCGGGGTGGCCCCGGTCCCGGCCCGGCTCAGAGAGAGTCACGGCGGGGCCCGGCCCGGCCGCGGCTCATTTGAACCCGCACCGACCGTTACCGGAGCGAGCGAGGCCGGCGGGCGCCGAGTCCGCCCGAACCGGCGGCGGAAATACCCGAACCGTCCGCCGGAAATACCCGAAGGCGCAGGCGGAAAGAGCCGAGCGTCGACGGAAAACAGCTGGGAAAGCCGCGCTCGGCAGCCGGGAGGAAACTCGGCGCCGGAGATGGCCGAACTGGGGCGGAGATCGCCGAGCAGAGACGGAGATGGCCGAGATGGAACGGAGATGTCCGAGCAGAGACGGAGATGATCGAGCGAGGACGGAGATGGACGAGCGTGAGGAGGCCGGTGAAGCGCGGCGGGGCCTGTGGCTCGTCCCTCAGAGCGCCTTTGCACCCGTGGAGTGCAGAACTTGCACTTGGTGCCACAGAACGGGCTCTGGGGATCCCCCGGTGTGTCGGGAGCGCCCGCGTCTCTCGGGGTGCTGGTCCGAGGGCTCCGTCCTGAGCCAGCCCGGCCCCGCGCTGGGTTGGGCCGGTGGTTCCCGAGTCCCCGTTCCCAGTGTCGGGGCAGCACGGGCCAGGTCCTGTCCCCGTCCCTGAGGGGTCCGTGCTGATGGTGCTCCCCACATAGGTTCAGCCACGACATCACAAAATCGCAGGATCGTGTGGGTTGAGAAAGACCTCCCTGATCATCGGGTCCAACCTGTGAGCACCTTGTCAATGGGCCAGAGCGCTGAGTGCTGCGTCCATCTCCGGGCATGGGGACTGCCACCTCCCTGGGCAGCCCCTTCCAATGTTTAACAACCCATTCTGTGAAGAAATTCCTCGTGATGTCCTCATATCCAGGAGTAAAACTGGCCTACCGGCTTGTAAGTACAAGGCAAATATTTTGCCAGTTACATCTTGGATGTGTTTGAAAGTGTGACATCTGGCACACAGAGCTTTGGCAAAAGAATGAAATAAAGATGCACAAGTAAACCTCAATTTATTAAATATACTGGCCTATCAATAGCCACCTGCAGCTAGCAGAGGCCCTCCTTCTCCAAATCCTTCTGTGGGCTTGCTGAATCAGCCATAACAGTGCCCCGATGCACACACACCTACACACGCACTCTGCCCTCCCTCTTGCTCTGTTCAGTGCTTTGCACTTGCACTCGGGCCTGAAGGTCAGAGCCTGATGTGCTGCCAAACACACGTGGGCAGGGGCTGTATCTTCATGTGAGAACCAAAGCTGTGTGTGGAGCAGGAGGGCTCAGCCTGCCTCCTTCCCCTCTTTCTCTGCACTTCTGAAAGGTGTAGTTACAAATCTGTTAGTTGGCAGCAAATCTGCAGGTGTTTTGTATTCAGGGTGTGAGCAGGCAAAGCTTTCTTCAATGCTTCACCTGAGACAAATAACAAATTTTAACTGCAGAGCAGTGCTGTCCTCTGGGACGGCCGCCTGGTTTCCTAACCACGTCCATCCAAGTAATTTTGCCAGACAAAAGGAGGGTGTGAGTAGCATGACAGTGAAGTGCCTCCTCCTCTGAAGGCCTTTGGCCTCACTTGCTGATGGTGATGATGGTGGTGTGTGTACTGTGTCTGGGGCTCCAAGGAAGGAGCCTTTCAAGGAGCACAGTCCCTATTCACCCTCCTGCTGATCTCATGCACTGCAGATAACTCCTCCCGGGGATGAAAGCTGGCTCCATCTGTCTCTCCCATTCCCCGGGCCACAGAACTGACATCCAGACCTTCTTTGGTATGAGAATGTGTCTTATCACAGCCTGAGGAGATACAGGCTCTCCGGAGCGTGGGGGCTCCTTGTGCCTCTCCTCAGAGTCCCCTGGAATTCATGTAAAACATCCAAACTGTAAAAGGTCAGTGTTTGCTGTTGTCTTTGGACATCTGGATTTACAGAGGCTCCTCAGTCCTCCAGTGCAGTTCTGCCTGTGGGTCACTCACTGGACCCACAGATGCTTTTATAAATGTCCATGGGACTAAAGCTGCTCTCTCTGTGGAATCCTCAACTTTTCCAGAGGGGGAGGGAGGCAGCCTTGCCAGGGGAAGAGGCAAGGAGGCACAAGCAGAGGTACAGACATACATACTGTGCCTGTTCAAGTGCATCATTCCAACCTGCTTTGCTACAAACCAGCTCTGCTTTATCTTAAAGAGACCCAACAGGTCCCTAAAGTAAAGTGTGGCTGGCTCTTCCCTCGGGGGGGGGGCTTCAAGGCTGGATATTTCACATGGAAAACCTTTTTCTTGCAGTTGAAGTAAAGTGTGGCTGGCTCTTCCCTCAGGGTGGGGCTTCAAGGCTGGATATTTCACATGGAAAACCTTTTTCTTGCAGTTCTGTCATTTCCCGTTGCTTGCTTTCTGTCTGTCTCTTTGCAGGTCTCACTTTGGTTTTAATTTAGTGTTACTCTTTTCACCATGGAAGCTGGGGGCTCAAACACAAGGCCTGTGCTGTGCACAGAGGGAGAGTGCAGCCTCTTGGCTTGCAGGGCAGGGATGTCACAGCTGTAGCAGGAATATCCTGGCTGGTAGGGATCTCGAGGCTATACAGGAGTATCATGGCTACAGCAGGAATATCGTGGCTATAGCAGGGATATCACAGCTCCAGGGCCCCAGTCCCTGCTGTGGATTTCCTCTGTGAGCTGAGGCAGGTCCCCACCTCCCCTCTGCTCTGTTCCTCTCTGCCACAGCACGTTCTGCTGCAGGAGTCAGTGCCACAGCAGTGACAAGGACAAACCCTGGAGCCAGTGTGCAGCAAGCAGGGTCCCTTCTGGCCCTGTCACCGCGGTCCTCTAGGAGGTTAAAGCACAGATAGTACATTAAAAACACGAGGTGCCCAGATCCTGCCCAATGGAAGCTGTAGGAATAGCACAAAGAGGAGCTCAAATCTAATCTTGCATCTATAAACAGCTTATGTTGCTTTTTATGAGCAGTTGAATCAAACAGTGGGAATTGAAAGCAGCTGTTACTCAGTCACTGCACAGGAACGAGCGAGTGGCAGCTGAAGTCAACACATCAGAGCAAAGTGCCTTCGATTTCTAGTCAAAGACAGAGTCAGGACGTTGGAATAAGGAACAAATCAAAGGAAAGTGTTTTCTGCTCCCAGGTGTTCTGCTGATGGGAAGGCTGAGTTATGTGTCATGAATTATTCACCGCTTGTGGTGATGCTCTGAAGATTGCTTTGCAGGTAGGAAGAGGGAGAGAGTCACCAGCTTGTATCACGCAGCCCCCAGACAGCTCCTGGCTGGAGCACACCATCTGCCTGGAGAAGAACCATCCAGGGATCCCATCCTGGCTGGGCTCCATTCCTGGCAGGACACTACCCACACCCCGTGGGGCATCACCCCATGCCATGAGGGTGGACCTGGCCCAGAAATACCTGTTCTTGCCCCATTTTTCTTCTCCCTTGCTGATTCAGCAGGAGTCAATTTTCTGAAAACCTTCGAAACTAGACTTTAGGATATCTCGTTGATACAGAACAAAGAATGTTTTTCATGTTTTTCTGATGTTTTGGGGTTTTTAAGGGCCTTTCCTAATGGGGACAAGCAGTGCATTGATGAATGAGAGGTGCCTGTGGGTCGCTCTGTGACAGGGACAGTGGCAGGGCCAGCAGGTCCCTCTTTGCTCCATAGTGCTGTTCAGCCTGGACCTGGAGGGAATGCTCGTGGGACAGTGTGATGAAGAATGGATGGCCTACAGTTTTGGAAAAGGATTGGTTTTAGGGCAGAGAGGAAATTAAGAACCTCCCAAAACCAAAGGGTGTGTACTTGATGCAGCCTGCCCCTTGTGCTCTCCTGACTCCAGGTCTGCATCAGCAAGAGGTGACCAGGCTGCAGCCCAGCTCCTGACCACGGCCAAAGGAGGGGTGATGATCCTCACTTACAAGTCTGAACTTTTCCTTTGCATCCCCTGCCTTTTCACCATAGAAATACCCTGTTACCTCTGAGAGCTGGTGGAGACTGAGGGGTCTCCTCCACCCACCTTGTCAATAGGTAGACCCAAGCCAAGGCAGACAAACCATTTAAGGGAGGAAGGAATGAACTTTAATAAGACAAATGTCACAGAGAAAACCTGAAAAGAGTAACTTGAGGTTTAAAACCTAGTTGCAGATATGTCACTGAGTACCAGGTTCAGGCACACACACGTGGTGCCCAACGATGGCTGAGGCAAAACATCCCAGGGAAAGGACATGCATGGAGGAATCTTGCTCTTCGTGGTGCTCAGGTGGATTCAAGCATTTCTGAGAGCCTGGGAGACAAGTGGGAGAGGTCTGAATGCAAAGAATCTTTGGGATGAGAGTATTCAGAATATTCTTTCTCAGATGAACCCAAAATGTCAAAAGATATAACTCAAGACCATTTAAAAAAGAGTTTTATATGCAAATAGTTATGTGAAGAATTAAATCTCCTGTCAGCGTTTGCCACCCAACCATCTATATTGCTGAGCTGATGAACAGGAACTGGAGAGAAATGGATTAAAATGAGATGAAAAGGATGCTGAACATTCAATGCTCAGACTTCTGTCTGTCTGGGTTTTAACCTTCTGATGTTTAAAGAGATTTCGGGAGGAGAGAGATTTTTAAATGTTTAATTTGTGTGTTTAGCGCTATCTGAAGGTCATTTTTACTTTTTTTTTTTTTTTCCCCTGGCCTCCTGCCTTTTACATAGCTGAGGGGTAGGAGAAATGTTTAAAAAGGTAAACAGATAATGAAATCATAAGAAATTGGTGGGGAAGCTGGGGCCAGGCAGAAATTTGGATTTTCTTTTCAATTGAGTAGATTTTAGAGGGACAATTCAGCCTCAAGGAAAACTCATCCCCTTAGCACTGTTTCTCTTTTCCTCAGGAAGATCTGAAGGAACATGAAAAATTTTAACAAACATCCATGGTACATTTTCCTTATTCTTTGTAACATTAATGGGAATGTTAATATTTCTCTGTTTGGAAATTTCCTCTCTAAGTACTAAATATTTTCTTAGCATCAAGTCATTCACTGATGCAGGTTTAAAAATATTGATTTCCACTGGCTGCTGTTGACCCCCTCAGCTTCTGGCAGGTTAGAAAACGTGGCACCATAAACCACCTCTTTCTTTCCAAGCAGAGACTCCACCCAATTACCCAGACCACAAAGGATCATCATAGCTGGGATGCTGTCCTGATAAATTTTAATTGGCAGGAGTTACAAGTGAAATTCTTTATCATGAACATAATTTTGTGCCTTCAGAGCTGGGATTATTCCTGTGGCATTAATCCACTGCAGGTTTGGGGTTTGGCTTCCCTGCCCCTGGCTGTTACTTGCAGGATTTCCAATTTTGGAGTGAGCAGCAGGAGATGCCACTGAACTCACCTGAAGTTTCTTGTTTCAGCCAGACATGATGTGCTTGACAAAAGCTGAGGAGAAATGAGAGCATGAGGGGTCAGGACATGCTTTGAGCTGGGAGGAGCAGGTGGAGAGGCAGCAGGGGGACCCCCAGCCCAGACCCCCCAGGAATGAAGGGGATGCTGTGCCAGGCTAATATTCCTATTTCTGTTCCCACTTTTTGCATGCCATCCCCCACCTGGCCAGAGTGATGCCAACCCTTGGAGATGAGCCAGTACCATTATCCCCATTTTTCTGAGGCCAAGAGAAATGGGTCCCCTCTTTTCCTCACTGGTCTCCAATTTTAGGGGTTCCTAAATTTAACCACCTCCTGTTCCAAGTTTTCACCCTCTTGGAGCAGCGAGTGATCCAGGTCTCCAAATGTTCCCAATTAGCCTCTGCTGGGAAAGATGCTGGCTTTGTTTATTTTCAATAGATTGCAACAAAACAGTGCCAAAACTGTGGATAAAACAGCCCTGAACTCCTTGGAAACATGCTCCCTTCAGCTGCTTTTCCTGGAAATCACTGGCACAACCACCTTGTTCCCACCCCAGCTGACAAGCCTCAGTGCTTTTTTGGAAAGGCTTTGGAGGCTGGTCCACACCTCCCTTCCAGTGATCACCGGTGTCACAGAATCATGGAATCATTAAGATTAGAAAAGACCATTAAAAACATCAAGTCCAACCAGAGCCCTTGCAGAGGATGCATTTTGCACCCTAAGACAAGACAGCCGTGTCTGAGATGGCCCCAACAGGAATCTCCTGCCCTTACCTTCATAGTTGATACAGCCATTGGCATCTTCCTGCCCTGCCATGAGCTGCTCCACCTCGCTTTCTGTCATCTTCTCTCCTGGAACAGGAGGATGGAGAGGTGAGGGGAAGGGTTTTCAGCCTGACACGACCTGCCCTTCTTCCAGATAACCAGAGACACCAGAGGGAGGAGAAGGGGATTAGAGAAGAGCTGTGTGCCACAACTGGGGAATGCTGGTGGGAGATGGTGGAGAGAGGACCACACTGCAACAGCTGTCTGATTACTGAGGCTGTCCTGTAGTCTCCATCTTGCCTGGGTCATGCACGAAGCTGTGGCATGAGGTGGAAATGGCCACACATTCAGGACTAATGACTCCTAAAAGAGCTTGTGAGCAGCAGAGTGAAAAGAACCTCTGATATGTGAGACCAGCCAGCTACTTGAGCCACTTGCCCAGAAAGAGCTCGGGGCCCATGCCTTGCTCCCCCGAGGTCAGCCATACCCAGCGTGACCAGCACATGGCGCAGCTCGGCCCCCATGACCATCCCGTTGCCCTCCTTGTCGAAGACACGCAGCCCTTCCACAAAGTCCTCAAAGGTGCCCTGCTCCTTGTTGCGGGTGAAGTGCTGCAGGATGGGGAGGAAGGTCTCAAAGTCCAGCATCTTTGTGTTCATTTCTGGAAGAGGAGGAGATGGGGTCAGAGACGAACCCTCATGGGGCTGAATTCAGCCTCTGAGGGTCTCCTGATTAACTGTCTTGGTCTCTTTTCCATCAGAGTGCAGGGGAGAAGCCCCGTGAGGAGGCAGAACTATTGTATTAGACTCGAAATTGGAAGATCCATATGAGGAATGAAGTATTAACATCAGGGGACTGCACAGAGACCCCTGATACCAGCCCAAAACTAAACCATCAGGTGGGTCATCTGTCACCACAGTAATGTGGCCGCACTGGGACTGGTCTGGTTATACCAGTTTGCACCAGTTCAGGATAGAGTCTGCTAAGCATCACTTGCCACCATTCCTGTGTGAGGACTGCCTATCCCATATGTCATCATCCACAGTATGGGGAAGGGGAGTGAAGGAATTACACAGGAATGAAGCCTGTCTGCATAATTTCCTTCACCTTTCAGGGTTCTTCCTACAGAGAATGTAACCCTCTACTTGCTGACAGGGAGTACAGGAATTGCTTGTCCCACCCTGTCCCCAGCTTGCTGTCACCTTCTGGTTTGGGCTTGCCCAGCACCTTGAGGACCTCTGCGTTGGTGGGGTTGTGGCCGAGCGCCCGGAGGACGTCCCCGCACTGTCCGTAGCTGATCTGCATCGTCCCCGCAGGCGTCCGGTCAAACAGCCCGAAGGCTTCTCTGAACTCTGCGGGGAAGAAGAGCTCGGAGTGGCCCCGTTCCCACTCCAGGGAAGCCCGTCGTGCCTGGCAGGCAGGGAAGGGACCCACACGTGCCTGTCGTGCCCTTGGAATGTGTCGCAGCCCCGAGTGAGCTTGCGCAATGCAGGCTGAGGTTTGCCAGACTCCTTAGATGAGTCACTTGGCTGCTCGAGCAGGTTTTGTCACCTCTGCAGAGCTGGCTGGGTGACCTGCTGGATCCCTGCACTCTCAGCAGCTGGCTTTGCTGCAGGACATCCATACTTATCGTCCTTTTTCACTCGGATCTCCACTCTCTGGGGCTGTCCCTGTGTCGCCAGAGGCTGTTCCTCCCACCAGACTCCCTGGCTTTGACCCAGGCTGCATCTCACACCATGAATGAAAAATACCTTTTCCCTGCCAGGCTCTGGATCCTGCTGGCCTTTCCCCCAGGAGGCGATTTAATGTGTGTGGCCTCAGCTCTTATGTCTGTGCTGAAAACTACCAGGAAAAAGGATTCCCCATTTCTAAAGCCATCTCTGAGAGAAGCTGAACTAGGCACTTACCTTCAATCTGCTCTGCCGTGAATTCAATCTGTAAAGAGAAGGAAGCAAAGCTGGGCGTGAGATGTGAACTGCTGCTGGAGGGAGCAAAGGAACTCTCCCTCCACAGGCTAGGGGCAGGGGGTTGTATCCATGCCCTGTCCCATATCTATGCCATGTCTGGCTGTGCTGTGTCCCCAACTGCTTCTGCCCCAGCTGTGGAGCTGACATCCCTGTGGAGAGCACAGCTGGCAGCAGCGGGGTGGGTAGGCAGGAGGGATGCTCAGACCACAGTCAGGACTACTTTGGGTGGAAAGGATGTTATTTTAGGGCCTGATCCCAAGTTCAAGTGATTAAACAGCCTCCATGCTGAGCCTGCTCTTAATAACTCTCCTGCCACAGCTATGGCTTAAAAATGTAAGTATCCTGAGGAATCATGGAAAAAGTGAGGCCCTGTTGTGGAGCTGTTGGATAAAGGATGCTCTTATGTGGAGGAGGAAACACAGGCAACAAAATACTTCAGGATGGAGACAGTGGGTGGCAGAGAAGCTTTTTATTGCTCCTGAGGCCCCGACACGGGGTCTCAGCAGGAGCTGGGGGTTCGATTCTGCAGCTGCAGCTCTGGGAGCAGCGTCCTGGTTCCCTCCAGTGCGTGCTGGGCAGGGCTGGGTGGGCAACACTGAGACATCTCCCCAGCGAGGACAGCATCACTCCCAGCCTGCTGCATCCGCACAATCGGATAATTTCCCCTCCCAAGGCTGGCTTCCAGCCTGGCTAATGCCATTTGCAGAGCGCTTTTCATCGCCTGTGCCTGGCAGATGACAGGCACGGAGAAACACGGTGACGTCTTCATTCCTCACTCACCTTCACGCTCTTGGGATCGAAGGCAGGCTCCGAGCCTGGAGCTGCTTTGGCTGCTTCCTTCCTCGGGTCGGGTTTCTTGAGCGGCATCGCGCTGGGATTTGCGGAGGTGCGGGATGAGTCCTGCCGCCCAGCGAGGGGAAGCGAATGAACGGAGGGATGAAAGGCAAAGGCTGCTCCTTCCCTTATATACGGAGCCCAGTGCTCACCCTGGAGAGGCAGGCCAGCTGCTGGAGCAACTGCTACTTACTATAAAAGGAAGAAAACTCAAACGAGAGGGGCCCCAATTTGACAATTGCCCATTGTCATCGGCTCCTGGCTCCACTGAGCCACCAGCCGCCCCCCCCCCAGCTGTACAAGGGGGGACATGTCCCCCTCCAGCACCTGCACCGGGTGGGCTGCATGGGGGCTGCTTGCTAAGTGATCATTGAAACCTAAACGCAAAAGGCCATGGGGGACAGGCAAGAAAATAGCAACAGGATGGCTGATAAACCTGCCACGATACCCACGGCGAAACGCGCCTGTTTGCGGGCAGGCTGCGAGGGCCAGCACTGCAGAGCCCTTTTGAGACCAGGATTTACAAAGTGCTGCTTCAAAGGAGCTCACAACTCTCTGAACACTCCCTTGGCCTTGTGCTCGGGGTCTGCTTTGTCCCAGTCTCCCCCAAGGGCTGAGTTTTGGCCCTGGAAAAGACCAGTGTAGGTGCTCACCTCCCTCAGGGTGGCTAATGAGGAAATGGAAATGATAGCCAAAGCCACAAGTGAATTCATCGGTGCAAATCTTTCCCAGCTTTGCACCATCCATCCCAAGCACCTCCAAAACCTGCAGGGCAGATGGAATCTCCATTTGGCTCCTCTCCAGGTGCTGGGCAGGCTCTGGTGGGAGATGCTCCTGCTCTCACCCTCCTCTCCCAGCTGAGGACTCACAAAGGCACAGAACTCATTGAAGTTCAGCATCCCAGAAAATGGGGCTTGAGGGTTTTACTGAGACATTCTAAACCATCAACTTAGACAAGATGTGTGGGGCACCAGGGCAAAGGAAGAGTTACAGAGGTCATTCTGGAGGAGGGAGCAGCCACAAACTGCTGGGAATTCTCTGTGTGCCATCATCTCCTCATTGCTAGCAGAGACTGGGGGGCCAAGGGGGCTGGATGGGTGTCATTTGCAATCATTGCTTTCCAGAGCTCTCTAGAATATAATGAGTCATTTAGCAAAAAAACTCAACGTGTTTTGCTAAGTTTGAACTCAGAGCCTGGGTCAGGTGTCGCCTGGGAAATCAAGGGAATTAAATTGCCCCTGAGCTGCCTCCCCCTCAGCATCCATCAACTCCAAAATAACCTCATCTTAACTCCATCTTCACTCCCCAGCAGCTTCTGGGTCAGAAATTAGACCCAGCAGAGCCTTCAGAAAACGTTCATGGTGCAGTCTGACTGTTTGTCCCTTGCTCACCCTCGGTGCCCGTGCAGCATCCCGAGGAGCCTCTGGCAGAGCTGGTGTCACACCCACGCCATGGCTCGGGCAGTGGAGACAGGCAGCTGCAGACAATGTCCCCAGTCCCTCCTTGATTTTCAGCTGATGGCCACCGTGGGGCTTGTTTTGCTGTCTGATTCCATCAGCAGGAGCAGCAGCCCCTCCTGAGCCCTGTCCTTGGGATTTGTGGTGTTCCCTTGGCCTCCCCTCCCCCAGGAGCCCAGCAGGACTCTGACCCTTATCACGCAGTCACGGGGGCTTGTGGCTGGGACCAGAATGAGCTGCCTTGCCAGGAAAACCCCGAGGAAGGCTCCGGGGGCTCTGCTGCTCTGTGCAGGATTGGGGCACTCACAGAGGCAGCAAGAACTGTGTCTGGACAAGGATTATATGAGCCAGGGGAGGGGCCCAGGCTGGGAGTTGCTGTTCCAGGGATTTGGCACTGGGCTGTTGAATTCCAGCCTCATCCCACTAACGACAACCTGCCTGGGGAAAGAGGGCTCCCCTCTTTGTGCCCCGAGTGCCCAGGGGGACGCTCGGGCTGCTGGGGGTCACAGGGTGTTGGAACTGGCTGGGTGGTGGGAGCAAGCTGGGCATCAGCATGACCCTGAAAGGCAGGGGACAGCCCTGGGGCCATGCCAGGGACATGCAGGTGACAAGGGATGGTGACAGCTGCAGTGGGACCAGCTCTGACCTGATGGCCAGTGACGGTGTGGGACCCCATCCGGGTGGCTGCTCCCTCCACCCCCCTGCCCCAGGATGGAGCCTCCAGCCCCTCTCCCGAGGAGACTGAATGCAGACATGCCCTGAGGTCACTGTGGGTGCCTGGGCAAGCAGGACAGATCCACTGCCCCAGGATGGAGCCTCCTCTCCCGAGGAGACTGAATGCAGACATGCCCTGAGGTCACTGTGGGTGCCTGGGCGAGCAGGACAGATCCCAGCACATCTCCCCAAAACACATCCTAGCCCCTGGAGAGGGAAAAGGGTTAAACTGGCGTCTGTCTGAAAGACATCCCATTGCAAGAGCATCAGCTCGAGGTGCTGCTCACGTGCTTGCACCCTCTGCCTCCCTGCCTCCAGCCACCTCACTGGGATTTTCCCCACCTTCCTCCAGCTTCTTGGGACCAGTCTGGGGCTAGAAGGGACTTAGGAGCATGGGGGCAGTGGGGGAATGCTGTGACAGCTGAAAAATGAGCCACCGAGCAGTGAGAGAAGTTTCTGAAAAGAGAAGAGGAATCTGCCTTGAATGAAGAGGATTTTAGCACCTTGGGCTAAGCCAATAAACCTCTGCCATCCCCATCCGAACAGGAATTGTTTGCACACGCTCCCGGAGCTGCTTAAAGCAGGCAAGACACAAAGAGAGAATAGGATCAAGCATGGTGGGGGGAGAAACCCCCCTGCCTGGGGAGCCTGTGAGCAGATCCCTGTAGGGATCCCACAGGGACAGGGAGCTTGCCCAGCCCTGATCTCCCAGGGACGGGCTGTGCCCCCAGTGCCACCTCACCTCAGTGGGGCTGGCAGCCAGGAAGGTGCTCCCAGAAGATGCTCTGTCCTGCTGAACACGCCAGCCCTCTTCACCTCTGGCAGCGATTCTGGTCCCTGAAGTCCCCATCTGAGTGACACGGTGGCACCATGGAGGCATCTGGCCCTGTGGGAGCTATCATGGTGACTCTCCTCTGCTGCTGCCTCCTGAGCTCGGCGTGGGCTCTGGTAAGTCTGCGTGGCCCCGGGGCTCCTCTGGTCCTCTCCTTGCTTTAACGTGGTGTCACTGGCCCGGGCAGGGCTGGCTGTGCTCCCGACTCGCATCCCGCTCTGCAGAGCTGCTGGGCAGGACGGGAGAGCATCTCCACTCCTGCTAAAAGCTTTCCAGCAGCCATGGAGGCACTGCAGAGTGATGGCTTTTCCATTTCTTGGGCACATCCAGGGCAGGGTTCAGTGCCTCGGAGGCGTCGGGGGAGCAGAGCGGGCGGATTACGAGCAGTGCAGGAGGGGCTGGAGGGCAGAGCTGGGCACAGCCAGTGAGACTCCCACAGCCAGGCCCCCATCCTCCTGATGCACCCCCAGTATCCCACTCCTGCCCCACATCCCTGACCAGCCCCCCGTTCACCCACCCAGATGCTGCTTTGGGGAAGAGCATGGACAGGAGTCCTGGATCTCCTCTCTGGGGTCAGATTTGGCTGTGCTCACTGGAGGCAGTCTGGGGAAAGTGACCCTTCTGCATCCCAGCTCCTGTTCACTTTCAAAGCTGTGTCCTCGTCCTGGTTATAAAATCCTTCAAACATCTTAGCCCAAAACACCCCCAAAGACATTTGCACGTGTGGTGTGATGGGGAGGCTGAAGCTGCCGTGGGTTCACTCTCTGCTCCGGGCACGGGGCAGTGGCTGCTTTGCTGAGCCCTGGTCGGGCACTTTACCCAGGGGTTGCCAGACCTGGCCTGGAGAGCTCAGCATGGGCAACAGAGACACCCAGCACTGCTGGTGCTGGGTGACAGGGAGCTGGGCCAGGAGCTCGACAGGCCACTGATTTCTGCACAAAACCATGAGCAGAAATGACCACGGAGAGGGTGGGAAGGGGCTTGGGGTCAGCATCAGCCTTGGAAGAGGGAAAAATGAGAGCAGGAATGCAGGAAGAGCTTTTTTCTTCCCTGTGTTGTTGAATCTATCCAAAGCCACCCAAACCTGACTCTCCTGGAGAGGGCTGGGAGAGCATAGCCATGCCATGACTTGAGCCAAGGGGTTGTCACTTGGGTTTTGTCAGAGTAGGTTGATCCCGATGATGTTCTCACCAAAGAAGAGCAGATCTATCTCCTGGTGGAGGCCAAAGAAAAGTGTCAGAGGGACATAAAGGCCCAGCTGGAGAAGATCAAAGGTATTGTCCCTCTCCTGTGCTTGGATAAGCCATTCCTGGTGGAGCTGGTTACACTGTGGGGAATGCTGTCCTCTCTGTTGGGCTGGGATGGGGCTGAGGACACTCAGCTCCCAGGGCTTTGTGGAGCTCATGGCACCATCTGTGCTCTGGGTGCAGCCAGCACTGGCTCCAGCGTTTTCCAAACAGCTCCATGTACACCACAAATGAGAGCTGTGGAGGGGCCTTGCCCCATCTGGAAGAGGTGGGATGTGTCCCCTGGCCCCTGCAGCTTCTTCCTCTCTGCAGCCCAGGGGATCTGTGGCAGCGTTTTCCTCCCCCTGGTCCAGCACACACCTGGGGAAGTCAGAGGTTATGCTGAGGCCCTGACTGGAGATGTGAGATGTGTCTTTCCTCTTTGGCCAGACCCCAGCTGCCCTCCGGAGTGGGATGGGATCATCTGCTGGCCAAGGGGCTCCCCCAGCCAGGAGGTGTCAGTGCCTTGCCCCGACTACATCTACGACTTCAACCACAAAGGCAAGTCTTGTACCTGGACAGAGAGTGACCTCACCCTGGTGACAATCCACGGTGCAGGGACAAGTCTGGGCTTCCCATGGGTCCTTCTGCTACCACAGTGCTCGTTGCTGTTCCCAGGTCACGCCTACAGGTACTGCAGTGCCTATGGGACCTGGGCCATGGCTCTCAGCATCAACAAGACCTGGGCCAACTACACAGAGTGTGCCCTGCTCTTCTCCTCCGAGAGCCGGAGCCACCAGAAGGTGACCTTGTTTGTCAAAGGTGCTGGGAAAGGGGTGTGGATGGGGGCCAGGGGAGGATGAAGCAAAGGCCAGGGGAAGTGCTGGGGGCAGGGGCTCTTCCCTCTCTGCTCCTCAAACCAGCCCTGCTCCCTGTGTGCTCTGGCAGGGAGGTGGAGCTCAGTCCTTCTCTTCCAGGAGGTGTTTGACCGCCTGCACCTCATGTACACCGTGGGCTACTCCATCTCCCTGGCCTCCCTCATCGTTGCTGTCTGCATCCTCTCCTACTTCAAGTAAGGAGAGGCCAAAGACCCTCCTGTGTGGGAGAACAGGAACTCATCCCATCATCCACACACACACGAGCCTGGGGAGGGGGCAGCCCCCAAAGGAATGGGAACGACCCCAGACCCAACACAAACATCAGCCAACTTCCCAAAGCTCCAGTCATCCCCAGTGTGACCAGCTCCCGATCTCTCCACCCTGCTCTTGGACAGTGTGGACACCCCACTTGCTCCCAGATGTGGTTTCTGTGCCCAGACACCCCAGAGCCCACTCTGAGAGCCCCCATTCCCTGAGCCCAAGTGTGGTGAGTTGGTTGGGCAGCTGGGGTTTGGTTGGTGTCACATCCCTTCTCCGCAGGCGCCTGCACTGCACACGGAATTACATCCACGTGCACCTCTTCACCTCCTTCATCTGCCGGGCCCTCAGCATCTTCCTGAAGGACATGGTGCTCTACTCGGGCACGGCGCCCAGCGACGCCGACAGGATGCGGGAGGACGATTTCAGGGGTCCCTTGCCAGGACAACGGGGCCACCTGGCAAGTAGTGGATGGGGGGAAAGGGGGATTTAGGAGCCCTGATGCAGTGGGATGTGCTTGGGATCCTCCCAGGCTGGGGCTGTGCTGCTCAGGGGGAGGGGATGAAGGTCCACCTTTGGCTCTGCCCAGCTCCTCCCTGTCCTGGTGCCACACTAAAGACCAGAGCCAGAGTACCTTGGCCTGTGTACAGGGAATACCTGTCCTATGGGAAGGAGATGCTGGAATATCCCAGAGGAGATGCAGGTCTCTGCAAGAAGAACATGGGGCACAGCTGGGTTTTGATGACCAGAAAGCAAAAGCCACCAGGTTTTGCTTTTGGGGACCAGCCTGACACAGGCATCTCCATGTGCCCACAGGTTGGCTGCAAGTTGGTGGTGACTCTCTTCCTCTATTTTCTGGCCACCAACCACTACTGGATCCTGGTGGAAGGTCTCTACCTGCACAGCCTGATCTTCATGGCCTTCCTCTCCAACAAGAACTACCTGTGGGTGCTCATCATCATCGGCTGGGGTGAGCACAGACCCCAGCCCCAGCCAGGAGCTCTGGCACTGGCCATGGCTGAGCGGCACCAAGTGCCCAGGGAAGGGCAGTGGGATGCAGGAACTGGCTGGATCTGCAAAGGTGATGCTCCAACCCTGCTCCTCACTCTGTCCCTGCCCTTCTAGGTCTCCCTGCTGTGTTTGTGTCCATCTGGGCCAGCGTCAGGGCCTCGCTGGCAGATACACAGTATGTACACCCACCTTTGCCAGGGCCTTTGGGAGGGAAGAGTGGCTGCAAATGCCAGCCAAGTATCTGTGGGCATCAGAGCTTTTTGGAAATGAACATTTTCCAAAAAGAACAACAGGATGGAATAGACATTCAAGGCTTGTTCATAGAATTTTCAGTAATGCAGAGCTATAGTGGTTTTGTTCTGCGTTTGTGAGGACGGTGGATGTGGGTTTGCAGCATAAATTGATCAATAAACAGCACAAAGATGGATGCTAAAGGGCACATTTTGGAGCGAGGCATTTTAAAAGCAGAAAGGCCATCATATGAACAACGTGAGTTTGGGATGAGGTGGCCAAGGAACCCTCAGGAACATTAATGCTCATTTAAATCTGCTTTGCCCCACCATAATGGTTAGAAATGCTTGTAGCTACAGCTCAAGATTTACACAAAGCTCACCAAGGGGTTGGAGAGTGGGAGTTGGGGGTGTTGGGGTGGTTGGGGGTACAGGGAGCCATCCTTCCCAGTGGTGTCAGGTTTCTCCAAGGAGTTTTTGTACTGGTCTTCTCAGGTGCTGGGACCTCAGTGCAGGGAACATGAAGTGGATTTATCAGGTCCCCATCCTGGCTGCAGTTGTGGTAAGAATCCTGTGCATGAATCTCCCAATTCCTTTTGAGGAAAGAGGATTGATAGAGACCAGAGCTGCTCACTTGTGGTCGCTGGAGTTTTGTCCCAGCCACTCCAGCACCCAGGGAGAGCCCAGAGGGATCCAGGGGCTCTGGTCCCAACCACAGCACCACTGCCATGTCCCTGCCTGCACCTCACCCAGAGCTGCCTGTCATTGTCCCCAAGGGCTCCTTGGGCAGACCCCAGCTCACAGTGGGCCCCATCACCACAATGGGTGTCTCTTGGCAGGTGAACTTCTTCCTCTTCCTCAACATTGTCCGGGTGTTGGCCTCCAAGCTCTGGGAGACCACCACGGGCAAGCTGGACCCCCGGCAGCAGTACAGGCAAGTGCTGGCAGCACCACAGCCTCGTGTCCTGCCTGTTCAGCCAGGAGAGCTTCCTGAGGTTATGGAGGAGGAGCAGAGGAGTGGGAAGGGCTGGAGGAGTGAGGAAGGGTGGTAAGATAGCGGCAGCCAGCTCCTCTGGCAGCTCTGCTGGATTGAAGCCTGGCTCTGGAGTTCTGAGCTCTTTCTTCCTGCTCCCACCTCCAGCCTGGCCACTGTGGGGCTGGGGGCTGCCCTGCAGGCCCTGGAGAATGGCTCTGAGGTCTCTCCTTTCAGGAAGCTGCTCAAGTCCACGCTGGTGCTGATGCCGCTTTTCGGAGTCCACTACGTGGTGTTCATGGCCATGCCCTACACCGAGGTCTCCGGGCTCCTGTGGCAGATCCAGATGCACTACGAGATGCTCTTTAACTCCTCCCAGGTGGGTTGGCACTCCCAGCATTGAGGGATGTTCATCCAGGGAGGCTCGGGGACCTCAAACTCCACCTCTTTTGGTCTCTTGGCAGGGTTTCTTTGTGGCTTTTATCTACTGCTTTTGCAATGGGGAGGTAAGTGGGAAGAGTGAGGAGCTAAGCTCCCTGTTCCAGCCCCTTTAGAGTCAGGGGAGGCAAACTTGCAGCCCCGGGCTG